AATTATTGATCAGCTGCCTCCTGCACGTCCCACACTGGGGATCAAGCCCACAACCCAGGCATGTGCCCAGACCGGGAATCGAGCTGTGACTTCCTAGTTCAGCCATAGGTCGATGCTCAACCACTGAGTCACGCTGGCCGGGCGAGATATTAATTTTTAATTATGAGAAGTGGTAACCTGCTATTGCCCTCAAAACCACAGTGTTTAAAAATGCTTTAAAAAATTAACAAATAACAGAAAAATATTGTAATGAAATTGATTCCAATTGGCCAAGATGCTCACTTCTCTCTTGATAAATCAGTGTTAATCATTATTTGCCTACATTAAGAATGTGTTCCTGTTAGAGGTAAAAATAGATCCCTAAGTGCCTGTGTGAAACCCTCATGAACACATGCATTTGTCATTCTTCAGCCAGGGTCAAGCAGCACTTAACCCATCCCACAGCAGCTAGGAGGATGACTCGCTTCTAGAAAGTTGCTGCTCTTAAACAGTTATGGTATCAGGAGACTTTGAGCAACAGACCAGTGATTTCCAAACACATCTAAAGATGCAGGCTAAGCCAGGACACATGCTCTTTTTATCTTCTTTAAGTTTTGGAAGTTTGGGAAATATTCACTGCTGAAAAAATTTTCCTTGACAGAGTTAGGAAAGAACATTAAGATTTTATGCTTTAAAAAATTAGATGGTGCCCTATCCGGTTTGGCTCAGTGGATAGAACGTCGGCCTGCGGACTGAAGGGTCCCAGGTTCAATTCCGGTCAAGGGCATGTACCTTGGTTATGGGCATATCCCCAGTGGGGGGTGTTCAGGAGGCAGCTGATCGATGTTTCTCTCTCATCGATGTTTCTACCTCTCTATCCTCCCTTCCTCTCTGTAAAAAATCAATAAAAATATATTTTACAAAAATTAGATGGTATTAGAGGTGGTTTTTTTAAAATACAAAGGAAGGTGAAAAAAAATTTTGTATTGTTTTGATCATCCTGATTAAGGGACAGAGAAGGAAATTTCAATAAAATAAAATAAAATATGTTTTTATTGTTTTGAGTCAATATTTCATGCATGTTGATTTTCAAACAAAGGAATTTTTTTTTAATATTTTATTGATTTTTTACAGAGAGGAAGGGCGAGAGATAGATAGTCAGAAACATCGATGAGAGAGAAACATCAATCAGCTGCCTCCTGCACATCTCCTACTGGGGATGTGCCCGCAACCCAGATACATGCCCTTGACCGGAATCGAACCTGGGACCTTTCAGTCCGCAAGCCAACGCTCTATCCACTGAGCCAAACCAGTTTTGGCTCAAACAAAGGATTTTGACCTGAGAGTCATGGGGGCAGGTGGGAGTGGTGGAGGGAGAGAGGGCTGAGGAGAGGAGAGAAAAAAGAGGAAAGTTCTGTGCATGTGGGGAGCAGAGAGGTGTTTATGAATGTGCTCCGGATTAGAGGAGTGGTAACAGTGATGAGCTAACTGAGTTAGTAAGAGCATGAGGCAATGAATTTGACAGCCCTGGTTTCAAACCTAGCCTTCACCACTGGTTGTCAGTGACACTTGGGACAAATTATTTAACCTCCTTGCTTTCACCTCCTAGTCTGTAATAGGTGCAGAGCAACATGAAATCTACATTGCTTTTAGAATTGAATGAGATCACACATAAAGCCCTGAACACAGTGCCTGGCCCCGCTTAAAGCTGCTGTTAGAGTTTTTATTATTCTCTTCTGGCAACAGATTTTTGCGGCTGTTTTGACAGTTTAACCTCACATCTCCACCAAGTTGCCAAAAGAGAATTTTCCATCCCTGCCCCTCTTAACCACACCCTGCTTTAATCATGAACCAGATTTCAACACCATCCCTGAGAGGTCACCACCTTCTACAGATTTTCTCTGTGTAGTTTTAAATTTCACTGCACCTACAAATGTTAAAAGCAATCTATCAACCAAAGTGATACTTAGCACCTCTTATTAAGAGACTGTACTGTTAGAGTATGCCCTTACAGTCTAGAAAGGGAAAACATGTTAGACATGAGTGAGGACATTCACAATACCCTCCATTCCAATGACTTCAAGACAGTACTCTATGTTTTGTTCAGGCAGGAAGAGTTTATGCTTTATAAGCCGTCTCTCCAAGGCTACCAATATCTCAGCAATGTCAGCATCATCCAACACCTCTACATAAGCTCCTATCTATCTATCTATCTATCTATCTGTCTGTCTGTCTGTCTGTCTGTCTGTCTGTCTATCTATCTACCTACCTACCTACCTACCTACCTACCTACCTATCCATCCATCCATCCATCCCTTCATTTATCTTACAAAATAGTTCCAATGATGGAGCACTGTAGGTTTAAAAAATTTTTTCTCCTCACATTTGATTGATGTTCTGTGTTTTTGTGTTGTTGTTTTTTTTGTTTGTCTTTTCAGATTTCAATTTTGTCGTGAAACACACCACACCCAATTTATAATGTAATTATCCCCAGAACATTGGGAACTTCAATTTTGGAATGGATCTTGACAATTCAGTTATTCTCCATCTGTATCAGCTACTTCTTGTGCAATGATGGAAAGCATAACTAAATCTGGCTTTAACAACAACAAAAGCAGAGGGGGGAGTAGAAGCTAATTTTTTGGCTCTCTGAACCAAAAAAGGTAATGGTAGAACCAGCTAGGGCAGTGGTTTTCAATCTTGGCTACACATTAGAATCACCTGGGAATCTTTTTAAAATCCCGATTTTAAAAAGAAATTTAAAAATCATCCTCCAGAAATTCTGTTTCTTTGTTATGGGGTGGGGCCACAACATTAATAACAAAGAAACAGAATTGCCAGAGGATGAGGCCCAGAAATCAGGATTTTAAAAAGATTCCCAGGTGATTCTAATGTGCAGCCAAGGTTGAGAACCACTGAGCTAGGGGCTTGACAGGTGCCAATAAACATTAATTGTGCTACACACTTCAATTCTACATTTTTAAAGTGGTTGCTTCATTCTTACATTCCATGAGATGGCAAGCTCCAAATCAGGTTGGCCCCAAGTTTATGTCTAAGAAAAAAGAGAGTTTCTTTTTATCCCCACCTCTCTTTCTCTCGAGTCCTATCAAAAGACACATTGGATGAGAGAATTCTGTGAACAGAGAAGGTCAAATGGATGCTAGGTGCAATTGAAAGATAGCTGGTGGACTGTACTCTCCTCAAGTAACTGCAAGGCAAGAATAAAATGATTCTTTAAATTTGGCTACCCTGAAACTTCACACTTTCACCTTTATTGGGCTATTTGGAAGTAACCAACCTATATGGCCATCTCAAAGTATCTCATCATATGCTAAGTAGCTTCTCACCAAGTGTTAGTCAAGCAGTATAGTTTGAAGAAACATACAACTATACCGCAGCTTTCATAATACCCACCTCTTCATGTAAGCTATCAGACATTTCATCCTAATGTTAAGGGGAAATAACAAGGAGGTAATAACTCTTTTAGATTTGTGTGCTGTGCATACACAGTTTAAAACAAAACAAAATAAAACAGACAAACAAAAACAGAGAGCAGCTTATACCTTTGAGATACATGAGATCCATAAAGATTATTCTCTCTTAAGTCCACACTTACGTGGGCCCAGGGTGCACAAGATGATGTGGTACGTTACTGCTCCCTTTACTGAGAAAGCTCAGAGGGTTCCTGGGAATGCTCCCTATGACTTCAGGAAATCAAATAGAACACGGATTTGCCTGAGACCATACATTTTGGAGTCTGTGTTATCTTGGCCAAGACTAATTCTTCATAATCATGACAGTTGTCATTTCAGAAAAATTTAGAATGACTTAAATTGTTATTGATGATTCATTGGATAGGAATGTACATGGTTTAAGTTTCATGAGGTGAGGAGAAAGAGCTTGTTAAATACAGTCAGGGCTTTTTAAAAGATTGTAGATAGAATTTTAAAGCAATTTAAATGAAAAAACTTTTCCAAACAGATTACAGCTGCAATCCTATATAATAAAAGCATATTATGCAAATTGTCCCCTCCACTAGGAGTTCATCAAAGAGTTTGACCAGGGGACAGGGCCGGCCGGAGGAAGAGAGGGAGGCTCTGGCCTGCAGCCAGCAACCACTAGTTGCATGAATGTAGGGCACAGAGCGAAAGGCAAGGGCTATGTGTTGTTATTTAGGTCTAATAGCCCAAAATGGATTAGTTGACATTTTTGCTTCCCTTTTATGAACATGGATCCAATATTCAGTTGTTCAAAAGCAAATTTCAAGTGTGTATGTTTTCTTAGAAATCAATGTTTTTCGTTCTTCTGCTGGACACTTTTGAACTTAAAGAGAAAACATTTACAAAAGGCTAGAAGGAAACTGGTATGAATTGTAAAGTGAAAATTTTGGATTATTCAAGGACTTTCATTATTCATGCTTCTTTTGGATTTAGTTAATACAAACTAAGTTGAATTGCTCTATCACTTTTTCATGTGTTACTAGTTTTCATCCTGTTGTAGTCCAAATATACCTTCTTTTGAAAAAAGCAGTGCTGAATATCCCAAGAATTCACTATGACACGGAACACCCCCATCTTGAATGGGCGTATGTGAAAGTTGAAATCTGAAGTAAAATTTGAAGGCCTATTTACAATCTTGCCCTTTAGTGTTCCCAATTTAGCCTTACTCCTCCTCACTTTTTACTGGCCTCTTTCTGGAAAGCTGGACAGCTCTTCAATGTTCAGGATAACTGCTCAAGTTACACTCTATATGGAAGCCCTGGCACTCTGCTAGTTTTATATGAGGGTTTTATTAAATCTATGCCAAACAGCTTCCCATCATTGGATCAGCTAAAGATGAAAGTTTTTTGCTCAAGTGACAACTTTGTATTAAAAGCAGTTTTTGTGTGTGTGTGTGTGTGTGTGTGTGTGTGTGTGTGTGTGAAAAGATGGATATTTGCCTATATCAGATGCTGGGTTTTCATACTAACACACATCAAAGGAAAAGTTTGCTTCCTAACTGGTTCTCATGTTTTCCTCTAGTTGGCTTCTCATCAAGATGATTCAGAAAATGCTGCTGAGCTGTGGTGCACAAACAAGGACATGAGGTACTGGTGACTCAAACCTTATCAGATAGGCTGAGGATTCTCTGTAGAGTCCAGGGAGTGAGTGTCCACTTGAAAAGACATGTAGGCAGAAACATGGGAAAACTTGGTTGTAACAAACTAAATGGAGAGTGCAGTGCATTTGTTTGGAGCATGTAAGCATTTAGCATTATGGTATGTGTATGGCAATTATTGAGAAGAGTAAAACCCATGATGGCAGCCTCATTATCCTCCCCTGTAGAAGAGTGGCACTAATGGGTCCTAGAAGAGTCTTGTAAATTTTAGTAAAAATCAAAACTTTTTAATTGACAATTAAGACATTTGGCTATGATTATAAACTCAGAGAAAGACATGGGATTGTAGGCTTTCCAATCAGGTCTGAACTTGTTTGTTTGCTTTTCAACATTCGGGCTGATTAAAAATACTTTTAGTTGATGGAAATTTGGGTTGTTTCCAGCTTGGGGCTATTATAAATAAATCTTCTATAAACATTTGAGTACAAGTCTTTGGGTGGGTTATGTTTTTATTTCTCTTGAGTAAAAGCAAAGAGTAAAATTTGTGGGCTATCTGGTAAGTATATGCATGTTATTGGTATGGCTAAACATACAGAAGTGATTGTATAATTTTGCATTTCCACCAGCAATATATATGAGCTATAGTTGTTCCATATCCTTGCCAACACTTGGTATGGTCAGTTTTTTTTAATTTTTGCCATTCTATTGGGTGTGTATTTGTATCTTATTGTGGTTTTATTTGCATTACCCTAATGAATAATAATAACCTTGAGCATCTTTTTCTGTGTTTATTTGTTACCTTCATATATACTTTGGTGATAGGTCTGCTAAAATATTTTGCTTATTTTTTTATGTTGTTTGACTTTTCATTATTGAGTTGTAAATATTTTTATGTCTATTATATAGGTTCTTTGTCAGATACATTTTTTGGAAATATTTGCCTTTTCATTTTCTAAGTACTGTTTTTAAATGAGCTAGCCTTTTAAATTTTGTTGGGCTTCAATGTATCAATTATTTTTTATCATTTGAAGATTTTTTTTGTTCAATCTAGGATATCTTTAGCTGAAGGTTACAAAGATTTTCTCAATTGTTCTTTCAGAAGGGTTATAGTTTTAGAACTTACATTTAGGTCTATAATCCATTTTGAGTTAATTTTTCTACATGATGAAAATAAGGGTCAAGTTTAATCTTTTTCATTGTGAATATCTAATTGCTCCAGCACCATTTGTTGATAAAATTACCCTTTCCCCATTGAAATACCTTAGCACCTTTGTCATAATACATTGACCCAATATGTATTTGTCTGTTGCTGGACTGTCAGTTCTATCCCATTGATCTATATTTCTATCTTTTTTGCCAACCCCATTCTATCTGGATTAATGTAGCTTTACAGGCTTAAAAGTAGGTAGTGTAAGTCCTACAACTTGATTTTTCTGTTTCAGATTTTATCAGGGGCAATTTTAGATCCTTTGTCTTTCCATATAAATTTTAAAATTAGCTTTTCAATTTCTACAAAAATAAAGCTATTTGAATGGTTTTGCATTGAATCTATAGATTAACTTGGGAAGAATTAACATCTTAATATTGAGTCTTCTAATCCATGGAAATGGCATATATCTCCATTTTATTTGTCTTTTAACTTTCTCTTCACAATGTGTTATAGTTTCCAATGTACAGGTCTTTATAAGCTCTCCCTCCTACTCTCTACCCCATCTCCTCCTAGTAAGCATTGATCTGCTTTCTGTCACTATAGATCAGTAATGGCGAACCTTTTGAGCTTGGCATGTCAGCATTTTGAAAAACCCTAACTTAACTCTGGTGCTGCGTCACATATAGAAATTTTTTGATATTTGCAACCATAGTAAAACAAAAATTTATATTTTTGATATTTATTTTATATATTTAAATGCCATTTAACAAAGAAAAATCAAAAAAATGAGTTCGCATGTCACGTCTGACACGCGTGTCATAGGTTCGCCATCACTGCTATAGATTAATTTGTTTTCTATACTTTCTAGTAAGTAGAATCATACTTTTCTGTTCGACTTCCTTTACTCAGTATAATTATTTTGAGAGTCACCCCCATTGTAGTGTGAATCAACAGTTCGTTCCTTTTTATTGCTTAATAGTATTCCCTTATATCAGTGGTTCTCAACCTTCCTAATGCCGCGACCCTTTAATACAGTTCCTCATGTTGTGGTGACCCCCAACCATAAAATTATTTTCGTTGCTACTTCATAACTGTAATTTTGCTACTGTTATGAATCGTAATGTAAATATCTGATATGCAGGATGTATTTTCATTGTTACAAACTGAACATAATGAAAGCATAGTGATTAATCACAAAAACAATATGTAATTATATATGTGTTTTCTGATGGTCTTAGGCGACCCCTGTGAAAGGGTCGTTCGACACCCAAAGGGGTCGCGACCCACAGGTTGAGAACCGCTGCCTTATATGAATATACCACAATTTGCTTATCCATTCACTGGTTGATGGACATTTAGGCTGGTTTTGAGCTATTACATATAAAACTTCAGTGAGTATTGGTATACATATATTTCTTTGAGTTCATGCTTTTATTTCTCTTAGATAGATACCTAGGATGGAAAAGTTGGATTTTATGGTAGATGTATGTTTAATTTTATAGGAAACCTGTTATCCAAAGTGGTTGCATAACTGTATATTTCCACTTGAAGTATATGAGATTTTCATTTGTCTCATTACTATATTAGTTCTAAAATTCATATTTTCTTTGACTATGTTAACTAAAAAATCTCTTTTGTATATATTTTAAAATACTCCATATTTGCATATTGACATTTCATTTATGAATTAAAGCCTTTCTAGATGCAACCACTATTAGGGGGCAATTAAATGTGGTGTTGCATTTTTACTGTATTTACAAAAATTAGTATTTGATTCTATTCTATTCTTGTTCAAAGCTGAGATGTAAGCCTGAGAGTGCAGCAACCATGTTTAGAGTTGGCCCAAGAGAATGGGGCTGGTATGCAGGGAAAGAAAGAGAAGAGAAGAGATACGAGTAAAGGTGGAGTTGAGACAGATTGATAGAATTCAAATCCCTGGCTTTAGCATTTGTTACATGAGATAATATATTTCACTGTTTGCCTTAAAAGGGGTACTACATGTCATCCCTGCTCACATGCTACATAATCTAGTTGATGAGGCCACAATAACATAAGAATAATAGCATAACATCCAATGAAAAGAAAAGGCAGAATATGACATCCTGCTAAGTGATACCCTTCTGCTTCTATTGTACCGCTTCTCGGGCTGAGACTCCTGTGGTGTTTCTACAATATCATGCTTCTCCTATTCCTGCTCAAGAGCCTGGAGCTCCTGTGAGGAGTATGTGTATGGTATTTAGGTGGATGGTATTTAGGTAATGATATGTCTGCTTATAAAATACTTAAACAATTTTATAATTTCATGCCTCATTTACTTATTTTAAAACCTTCACTCAGGCTTCATCACCATTAATAAGTTCTCATATTTATTTATTTATTTATTTTTAGTTTTTAAGTTGAAAGGTGTTACGTTAAACTTGTTCACAGGTCATCTTAAGTGTTTGAAAGTTGCCCACAGATAAGAGATATTCAGACAGTAAACCTTTCTCTTATTGTGAATAAACAGACTGGTTCAAATAAGTATTTGCCTGCCCAAGCAGTCCACTTACCCATGAAAAAACTTCCAGTAGCAAGTAGTATAGTCAAGAATCTCTTATTAATAAAGCATTGCCATCATATGTACAGATGCACACCTACAAATCCTATAGGATCAGAAAGCTGATCAACTCCAAAATTACTCTGCTTATGCTTTGTCTTGACAAAGACAAAAAAAAGAAAGGTGTAAAGCCACACAACTTTATAGTAACCAAGGACTAACACTTTTCTCTAAGGTTCTTCATCTCATGCAAGGCCAGCAGAGCCCTGTTCAATGAATATCATGGACTGCTGACAAGATCTGTATTTTTGTAATCTGGAAACTCCTAGAAGATAGCTTTTTAACTCTTTCTTTTCCACTCAGGAAAGAACTTAGTCAGATCATCAACTATAAATGCATTTAAAGTTCCTGGATCCTGGGGCCCATTGGTGTGATTGAATTTAATAAATATTCCATGTAAATTCCAAGTAGCTAAGAAACTGATTAGCTAAGGTACTGTGAGCATGGGAAATGCGAATGTAGTTTTCGAGGTGATTGGCCTTTCAGAGTGGACAGGCCAATAGAGAAACCAGGCCTATCAGAGCAATGCCTGGGTCTGCTTCCATCCAACCTGACCAAGGCAATCAAACCAGAGTTTTACCACATGCCTACAGATTCTGAATAAATTGGCAGCTACCCGTGCTTCAGGGATTTGAAGGAGACTAGGGCATTTTTTTTTTTATTAAAAACAAAACAAAACAAAAAACACACCCTACCTGGTTTGGCTCAGTGGATAGAGCATCGGTCTGTGGACTTGCTCTGGTCCCAGGTTTGATTCCAGTCAAGGGCACATGCCCGGGTTGTGGGCTCAATCCCCAGTAGGGGGCATGCAGGAGACAGCTGATCAATGATTCTTTCTCATCACTGATGTTTCTATTTCTCTCTTCTCCCTTCCTCTCTCTGAAATCAATAAAAATATTTTAAAAATAAAAACAAAAAACCGTCAAGGGCTGAAATTGTCTTTAAAACAAAACAAAAACCACACATCAGAGAATTCTATCCAGCTGCATGATATCTCGTGCAAGGGAGACATCTTGTGTTTCTTTAAACCCAGAGGTTTTCTTTTCAGTAAGGACAGATGGAAGCTTTTCTTCATTATCCTGGGTGATCTTTTTCAAGGCAAATTTATCCTGAGAAGCCAAACCCAAGTCTCAATTTGGGCTTCAGATGAAGCGATGTACATTTTTTACCTTTGAATTAAGACACTTCAACCACATTGGCTATGGATGGAACTCTTCAGTCTCCTATTTTTAAAAGTTTCAGGCTTGAAAAACACAGAGCACCCTAAAATAGAAACGT